ATTTATTTCTTTTTGCCTTTTTCCTTCCCCTTCTTCTTATATTGTCTTTTCCTACCTTAACTGCTACATGTTTTACTTGTAATTCCATGCCTATTTGCTACTTGTTAGACATTGTATCTCTTGTTGGAAGTAATAGTTCTTTCATAACTTCGTTGTCTCCTAATATTTGTTTGAGCTGATTATTGGTACTTTCAAGGCATATTATGGATTGGTCTCGCTGAGTAGTACTACTTGTGTAAAGTCTCATAGTGCATAATCTTTCTAAATGCTTTGATTTGAAGTTGAGCCTTGTGAAGAGTTATGTAATTTGAATTGTGTAATTTCTGTACTTGCTGAGTAAATGATATTGATATGGTAGGATCGGATTGCGCCCCACAACATGTGTAATAAGGGTGGATTGTGGTGAGATAAGGGTGAACTATGATTGTGATTATTGTGATACAGTGGAATCGGGTTGCACGACGCAACATGTGTAATAAGGGTAGATTGTGGTGAGATAAAGGTGAATAGTAATTGTGATTATTGTGATACGATGGGATCGGGTTGCACGCCGCAACAATCTTTATGCTTATATTTTTCCTTGACTGTGTTAGCTGAACGATAGTCTTAAAATGTACTTAAGGATTGGTTATAGCTGACATTGATGATATGTTTCGAGAACTGTATTCATTCCTTGCAAGCTACTACTTTATTTTTTTTGTCCTTCTTTATGCTTTTATTATACACTATTTGCAGGTTATATTGTAAATTCCCTGCCGTATTTTCGTCACTACCACATCGAGGTTAGGCTCGGCACTTATCAGTATATGAGGTCAGTTGTACTAATACTACACTATGCAATTTCTGTGCAAGTTTTGAGTAGGTTGTGGCTGATCGAGAGGTTGGTTGCAGATTTTTACAACTAGGAGACCCAAGGTAGTCCTGCTGGCGTCCGCAGGTCCTGGTGTCCCCTTCTGTGCTCCTACATTTACTTTTTTTACTTCCCTTCATAAAAGTTGTATCTTCTTTTGAACAAATATTTGTAGAAAATCTTAGTGTGTTCATGGATTGTGACACTGGATTCAGGGTAGTAATAGTAATAGTATATAAACAAAGAGGCTATTTACTTGCTTCCGCATTTATTTTTACAGGTTTTAGCTTGTTTATTGTTAATTATTGAAACGTAAAGGATTTGGCTAATTAAAACTCTAACTTTGGCTTGCTTAGAAAGTGTGATGTTAGGCGCCATCACGATCCCAATGGTGAGGATTCCAGGTAGTGACATCTTATTTGCCTATTTGCTACGTGTTTTCATGTTGAGTACAACGTATAGGTGAAGTGATGAGTACCTATGTGTTGTTGTCGAGTTATAGCATGCAAGCGAGTCTTGTTCATGTAATTGTAGCTTTTAAGGATCATATTATCCATGCTTAGACTAGTTAATCATTATGTTGATCATTCTTAACATGTTTACGGACTTTGGTAATATCTGGGTAATGATTCGACGTTGAGGTTAGTATTGTGGAACCTAATGTGAAGTAAGACTAGTTCTTGTTATTTCTATCTTCCTGTTGTTATTGTTCATTATTTTGGTAAGGGAGAGTGTTAACGCACCAAGGGTGATATTGTACGATGTATTGTGAGTGTTAATGCACGAAGGGTGATGTCGTGCCATATTGTGAGTGTTAATGCACGAAGGGTGATGTCGTGCCATATTGTGAGTGTTAATGCACGACGGGTGATGTCTTGTCATGTTATGAGAGAGTTAATGCACGAAGGGTGATGCCATGTCGTTTCTATTAATTATCTGGTGAGGTTGAGAGTAGAATCACGAAGGGTGATGCCGTGCGTTTTCCTTTACTATGTTTACTTGTTATTTTTTTGGTTCAAGGTATATTGGTCGATCAATTTTTCTTTACTGCTGTGATTCTCTATCTTGTAATCCCCTCAGCATGTCCTCCTCCCAATATTATCTGTCTATTTTTTACTTGCAGTTATTTTGTACATATACTGTTAAATTGCACATATTTATTATGTATGTGTCTTGTCTTAGCCTCGTCGCTACTTCGTCGAGGTTAGACTCGACACTTACCAGTGCATGAGGCCAGTTGTACTGATACTACATTGCACTTCTGTGCAAATTTCGGTATCGGCCCTAGCTGATCGTGAGGTTAGCTACTGGACTTGATTGTCAGGAGACCAAGGTAGATCTTTTGACGTCCGCATACCCTAGAGTCTCTTCCTAGTCTTGTTATTTTACTATTTCTTTTCTTTCAGAACAGTGTATTATCTTTCAAACTCTGTTTGTAGTAAATCGTAGTAGCTCGTGAGTTGTGACTTCAGATCCTAATGTTTCAGATATTTTGGGTTTTATAATATTCCGCAAACTCTGTTTAGGTTCTGTTTAGCTTAATCAATTTTGTTATTAAAAGTTCGTTGAAGTTGATTTGTGAATCTTCTAACGTTGGCTTGCCTACTTAGTGAAATGTTAGGCGCCATCACGATCCCGAATGTGGAAATTCCGGGTCGTGACAACATTATATAAATTTTAAATTTAAATACTTATTTAGTGATTTTGTATCTAATAGATTGGGAAGAGGAAGAGCCTAGCAGTGAGGCATCAGTGCTCTCCAAAGAGTTTGATACAAATCAATCTATCGAAGGAGGCATTTATATCTAAAGTGATAGGGGTAAATTTATCATTATATTTTATACATATATTAGTTATTCCATCTTCTACCTCGCATAAAATAATATATAGATTGACTCATAATCTATACATATATTATTTATGTAGAATTATAAAATGACAACCAAACATGATATTAGTTATGCTAAATTTTGTACAAAATAATTAATGGCCGCCAAACATTGCATAAGTTATGTTGCCTCCATTACATACATAACTTTTCTGCTAACCAGCTACCAAATAACCTCTAGCTGTTAACTTTCGTGAGTACACGTAAGCATAGCGTTATTGTCTTGTTGATCATATCTAAGTGAAGTTATCAAATTAATTATAGAAAAAGTGGTAACAACTTATTGGTAAATTTAAAGCAATACTGGTTCTCATACCCTCCATTAATGTAATTTACCTTCAAATAAACACATTCAAATAGTACAATTCAAACTCCCAAATACTCTTTCTATATTTTTAATCTCAACCGGAATTGTTCAAACAGATATCAAATTCACTATTCATTCACTCCATTTATACCTATTTGGGGTATTATTATTTTTAGCTCGCGCTAGAAATTATTTATATTCAATTATCAAAAAAATATATAAAATTTATATAATTTTTGTATATAATATACATGATGTATATATATAAAAAATAATAATATTTTTTCGTCTATTATTTAAGAACAGCTATACAGTGTCCTTTTTTTCTACCTATTTCCCCTCCTCATGTTTTTTCACATCCAGATATTAGGCCCCATTTGTTCATAGAATTTTTTTTTCCTTTTTTTTGTTTCGAAAAACATGTTTGTCTATGAGATATATAAGTTTTTTTTAGATTTTTCAAAAATGAGCTTTTTAAAACCAAACCGCTTTTCAAATTTTTCGGAAAAAAAACTTTTTATTACTCGCTAAACTAAAATATTTTTTTCAAGTACACTGCATATCCAAATAGTATAATTTTAAATTCCAAAATGTAAGTGCGCACAACATCATACTATCAATATTAAAATCATTTTAAAAAAAATAATGTGAGTACTACATTTCCTCACTTGACATGCACGTGCGAGTGAATACATTAAAAAAAAGAACATTTTTTATTTTGTGGCGCGTACGGTAATAATTTTTTTGAAAAGACATTTATTTCCTTGTACAGTTTCCTTCTACAAACACCTTCTGCTTTATTTTTTTGCGAGTACTAATGTGAAGGCAATTCCCTCTATCTTCAACGTCTCGTGTCGAGCTTGTAGGTTTGTCAATCAATTTACTTTTTAGCTTCTTTCGTACTTTTACTGTGTGAGTTTGTCAATTAATTTCTCTTGTGTGTGTGTGTTTAGATTTGCAAAAAGATATCCGTTCAGATGAATGCTAGAAATCAGGGGAGGATCTGGATCGAGTGGCGGGAGCGGGTTCGGTCGAACCCATTAACTTTGATTTGAACTCTGTATTTGTCTTAAAAATTTATTGAATATGTATAAATTATTAACGGAAAACGGTCATATATACCGGTGAACTATGCAAATTAGGACAGATATGCCCGTCGTTAGTAGTTTGGCACAAATATGCCCAATCTGTCCAATACTTGGTAATTCATGCCCTTAGTTTAACGGAATCACTGTTTTATCTTTCTTAAATAATTAACAACTGGACCCAACCAAAATATGCTAACTCGTCCGTTAGGCTCCGGCCCAAACTTATTTCAAAGATATTTTTTGATATATTATTTTTGTTTGATTTAGAAATTGTGTGATAATCATATTTATTTATTTGAGTAATTTGATAATCGATTTTTTTTTTGTTATACATCATTTCGGGAAGTAATCCTACTAAAAGTAGTAATTGATATTTATTTATTATTTTAATAATATAATATTCGAATTAGTTTGTGCTTTCTTCATCATTTTACCATCTATTTTTATTTTTCTAACAATCTATTTGTATTTTTCACCCATCCATTTTTATTAATTAATTATTTCATAAATAAAATACACAGTTTAAAGTTGTTGACGTTAAACCAGAGAGTAAGAACTTACAGATAGGTCATGCTTTCGAGCTTCTGAAAGGGAGTGTATTTTTATTTATGAAATAATTAATTAATAAAAATGGATGGGTGAAAAATACAAATAGATTGTTAGAAAAATAAAAATAGATGGTAAAATGATAAAGAAAGCACAAACTAATTCGAATATTATATTATTAAAATAATAAATAAATATCAATTACTACTTTTAGTAGGATTACTTCCCGAAATGATGTATAACAAAAAAAAAACGATATTCAAATTACTCAAATAAATAAATATGATTATCACACAATTTCTCAATCAAACAAAAATAATATATCAAAAAATATCTTTGAAATAAGGGTGGGTCGGGTCCTAACGGATCGGGTCAGCAGATTTTGGTTGGATCCGACTATGAATTATTTAAGAAAGACAAAATAGTGGTTCCGTTAAACTAAGGGCATGAATGACCAAGTATTGGACGGATTGGGCATATATGTGCCAAACTATTAACGACGGGCATGTCTGTCCTAATTCGCATAGTTCACTGGCATATATGGCCCTTTTCCGAATTATTAATTTAGAACTCACTAACTTAAAACTATTAGAATCTCGAACAATCCTAGCTACGCCTCTGCTAGAAATGATGAGTATGCGTTAATGAAAACACCCACTCTTTATGTTGTTAGCTTTGAAAGAGAATTCTATTTTATCTCTGATTTTTATGAAATTAGATTTCATTGTTGTTAGCTTTGAAAAAGCATTCTGTTTTATCTCTGATTTTTATGAGAGATTTCATTTTTTCATCAAATGTCATCTTAGTAGTGTTAATAATGGTTATAAGACGTTGGCAAATTAGTTATTTTGGTTACTTCTGTAAAACATTTACCAGCAAAGCAGATTTTAATTTCTGTGCGCTGACACTATATGGATTTATAAGGTTAATTTTAACTCAGATTGGAAGCCTGATATGGTAACTTGGGAAATAGAAGAGTAATCTGCTATAACCTATTAAATTGAACTGATGGTGTAATTCAGTTTATACAACTTAAGTTCTTTATTGAATTGGTGAAATAATCATATGAAAATTGTTAACAACCATTTTGGAAAGTTGTTATTTTAAGAAGAAACCTGGAGTGGTGGGGGAAGGAGTTGTTATTACTCATAATTTTATACCTTTTAGAATCACTCAATGTTGTCTTTTTTCATTTTACTGTTCCTTAGACTACAACAACAGCAACAACAACAACATACCAAGTCTTATCCCACAAGACTGATGATTGTATATCGTTTTTTTTTTTTTTTTTTTGATAAAGTAAGTGATTTCAATAGATGGCATCAAGAAGATGCAAGAAGTACATGATTTGGCATTTGAGCTTACAAAAAATATTCTGGCTCCTATACATAATTGGCTAAGCCAGAGCTAAGGAACTTATGAAATCCAAAAGATGATCAATATTGTTGATAGGGTACAGTCTAGACCAACAAAACAAATTGGCAATACACAGAGCCTTTAAAGAACCTATAGGAGTTGAGTTTCCATCAAAACATCTCTTGTTTCTCTCTGTCCAAATGCACCAGAAAATACAAGCAGGGACCATTGACCAGATTTTCCTGATGGCTTTATCAACTCTTCATAAACTCCAGCTCTTATAAGCATCCTTGAGACCTTGACTGTGTAAGGGGTGACCCATTTGAGGCCAAAAAGGCAAAAAACACATGTACCATATGTCTGAAGCCACCTCACAGTGTAGGAGCAAGCGGCAGGTACTTTCAGCTTCCTTTTGACACATGTAGCATCTGTTAGGTAACTGGAAGTTCCTTTTCATCAGGTTATCTTGTGTGAGGCATGCCTCATATAATACTTTCCAGGTGTAACAGATAACCTTTGGTGGCAGCTTTGTTCTCCAAATAAGTTTCCAGGGCCAGTTGTCTTTCATGGGATTACTAGAACACATCTGTTGATATCCCACTTCGACTGTGTAGATACCTCCACCATGATTCCCCCATTAAGTCTATCCACAGCTTGGGGGTTAACATTGCTTTGTTGTAGTCTTGCATAGAGGTCTAGCAGCTCGTTTATTTCCCAATCATGCATGTCCCTTCTGAACTTCAAGTCCCAATTGACCCCTTCCCTGTATGGCTATATGCAGCAATAGCAGCATTATGATCTTGGGCTATGGTGAACAAGCTAGGGAATTCAACTTGAAGGGTAGAGTTTCCAAGCCATTTATCCTTCCAGAATCTAATGTATGTACCATTCCCAACTTCAAAGTGGATGTTTTGTGCAAAGTACTCCATAATTTGCTGATGCCTTTCCATAATCCCACACCATATGGAGCACTCGAGACTTTTGAACACCAGTGATTCAGCTCTCCATGCTTGGCTTTGATGACAACTTTCCAGAACCCAGCATCCTCCATATTGTATCTCCACAGCCACTTCATCATCATGCTTTTATTGTGTGCTGCTAGATCTTTAATTCCCAACCCTCCTTGAGTTTTTGGTTGGGTAACCTTTCTTATTTATTTTTACTTTTGCTTCTGGTTAATAAGGATTTAAATGTTTATCTTATTTATAGATACTGAGGTACTTACATGAAGCAAGATTCATGAAAAGAAATATTTAAGGTACCTACCTTGTCAAGATATGAAAAGTTAAGGTATTAGTTGAAAGAATTTATCATAAAACTGATAAAATGAAGTAGCATTACTTTCTTGTTTGAATTATAGAAGTGAAACTTTGGAATTTAGTGATGGGAGGCAAGTACATTGGAATGGAAGAAATACTTATATTAGGGACGAGAGGCAACTAAACTGGGATGGAAGTAATACTTCATTGCTCGTAATACTTTGTATTTGTTTAGCCTATGAAGCTAATACAGTAGCTTCCGCTACATCTAAACCTGTTCTTTCTTTTCTTTTTGATTTTTTTAGCTTAAACCCTGTACTGAGTTTGGTTTGCATTTCTGGTGGAATACATTTAGCATTAGTGTCTGTTCCTTGTACCAGAGTTTTAGCCAATGCTAGCTTATTGCAAACACTTCAGTTTCCTTGTCTGTTCATTTTCTTCTTCTTAGGCTTCTTCTATGTTTTAACTTTAAGAGCATTTTCTGTATTGTTCAGGAGTTGTAAGATGTGAAAATTTGGCTAGTTGTCGCCTTTGATTATGTCCACTCTTGGTCTTGTTAGATGGCATTCTGCATGGACAAAGGAATACGTTCTAGTCCAGCTACTGAAGATCTGTCACTTGCAACCACTATGGAGAAGAAAATAAAGGCATTGGATAGTGATTTGATTGTTAATGAGGTTTTTATTACTAATCCTGCAAGCTCCTCTGAATTTATATTAGGTCCATGCTTCAGGGATAGAGTTCCTTCAGAGCTTGTGCCATTTTATCCCTTGGAAAAAGGAGAAAAGCTCCTTCTGCATTCTCTGGAACCCGGGTGGAACGAAGGAAGAACTTGGAAGTCATGGTCATATCCAAGTAAAATGTGGATTAATTGGGTTGATCGACTGGAAAAGGAAAAAGGGGAGAAGTGGAGAAATGCTGGGATATATGATGCCATTCAGCTTTCTAAAATTGATATACCCTTTGACAAAAACCTTCTATATGCTGCCTTGTGCTTTTGGTCAATCTCAAGTAACTCCTTCCACTTTAATTTTGGCATGATGGGTCCAACTGTATTGGATATTGTTGCTTTGACCGGGCTTAGACCTCATGGAGAGGATATTAGCGCAATCCTCTGCTCCCCTAAGTCAACCTTTACTTTACCGAGGGGCGAGAATGGTAAAAGATTATCTTATGGGAAATTTCTTGAGCTCTCGATGAAAAAGGGCGATGTAACAGAGAATGAACATATCTCTTTCCTAATTATGTGGCTTTGCAAGTATGTTTTTTGCAATGGTTCAGGAAGGGTAACAAAAGAATGCAGCGAATTAGCCATTGCTCTTGCTGAGGGCAGGAAGCTTGCTTTGGCTCCTTTTGTATTGTCTCATCTGTATCGAGGCTGTAGAGATTTGGTTTTGAGAAGGTTTGGTTGTGCAGGGGGACCCTTCTGGATTCTACAGCTCTGGCTTCAATCTTATTTCCCTGAATATGGACCCTTGACATATGAGCCAAAAAATTGTCTAACTTATGGTGTTTCCCTGGCTCAAGGCAAGTTAAAACACAAAAGTTTCCAGGAATGCTTTAAATTCTTTTATTCATGCTCCTCCCGAAGTCCCAGCCAGTTCACTCCATTTTTTTTTAGGACCCTTGGTCCTGAGTGGCAGAGATTGTCGCTGCATCATCACTGCATTACATCTAGTAAGCAAGATCTAAGCGACATCTGGTCCAGTTACCTTATTGCTCGAGACCTCCATTACGGCCTTGTACTGGGCAACTCAATTTTCTGCAAAGCTGGAGTGGAGTATTACTCTCCAAATCAGTTTGCACGACAGTTTGGCATGACGCAGGCAGTGCCTCTCCCTCCTTATCAGTCTGCCAATACTTCGTCACTTGGTAGAATTGTTTTCCATTCAGTTAATTGTATCCAAGAAGTGGATTCAAAGTTTGTCCAATTGAAGAAAAAGTTTTCAGCTGTCCACTTTGATGCCAATCCAAAATGTACTCCATCCTTTGAGTCCTGGTGGTCGAATTACATAGGCAAAACTCGGATTGAATCAGCCGAGGAGATCCTTGGTAGGATTTGCTCAGATTTTCAATTAACTCCAAGTACAATGCAAGAAAAAAGGAATTTCCAGCCAGATAATTCAGAATGCCATGCACAGATTGCTGGAGAACAAGAAACCAGAAAAAGGAGGAATGAAGGTATGATGAAAAAACGGAAACAATTAAAATTATAGAAGTACCTGAAAATAAAAGAGCTGTTAAAGCTGTTATATGAATCTTTTGCCTTTCTTTAGTTCTCATTGTCTGTAAAAGTTGTAACTGAGTTTCCTTCCATGGTAGACCCTTAGAGATTATGGGCCTCTCTCTAAGAATGAGATCTAATATACGGTATATATCGAAATAGTCACACGGGGCTCACGTCAGTGCTTCTTAACATAGTTTTTTACTTCCGCCTTCATAATAAATCAAAAGTTAATTGAACATTTTGGAAGACTTTGGGTTTGACAGCATACTTTCCATGTCTCATTTTAATCTTTTTACCATGTGAAACTAAGACATTAAATCTGTGATGGATAGAATGCTATTGGTTTTTCAGCTTTTAGTTTTCATGGCAATGTATTTAGTTTCAGGAATGAACTCTTGACACACATGTATACAGAAGAAAGTCATGAACTCCTGGTTGTCTTCTTTAATCTTCATTCCATGCTAAGGGCATCTCTAACCTTTACCCCATTTTCGGTCCCCAAAATGGGGATTACTCCAACCATTCCCCCATTTTTTCCCCCAAACTTTTTTATATTCTTCTCTCTCTTCTATATTATATTATTATCTTTCATTTCAATTTTATTTATTAATTTCCATTAAACAAATTCCATCTTTTATTTTTATTAATTTGTAATTTCCATAATTAAAACAATTCTACAATAAAATTAACTTATAATTTTACATAAAAATAATAAATGCACGAAAATTAATTTATCAAAATTATACACCAAAGTTAAGATATAATATTAATATTATAAAGACATTACATAAACATAATTAGATATATATAAAGAGATAAATTAAAAGATTAAATAATAAAATAATAATAAAAAATTGATGAATAGTAATGGGGAGATGAATAGTGTACCCCATCTTTGAGCGAACACTATTCATCCCCCATTTTCCATTTTGGGGACAAAAATGGGGGAGGGTTGGAGCTAAATTCCCCCCAAAATTGGGGATGGGGGCAAGGTTGGAGATGGCCTAAACAGACCCACCCCCTTCTTTTCTGACCTTAAAATCCATCTTCTGTTTCTATGGTGGTGGACTGTGGGTTCTAGAAGGTAAAATGCTACTCTGTGCACTTAATTTGAAGCATAATGTTGAAGTTTGGCAAAATGCCAAAGTCCCACATTGGTTGGGAGTTAAGTTTGGGGGGG